AATTATAATGAAAAAATTAATATATAAATGCATGTTCTCCCCGAGACTTTTCATTCTTCATCAAATACAATACAATTCAATACAACCCAACACAATATAATAATAAATCAACAATGTATTTGAAATTTCTTCTCTTGGCCATATTAATGATCTCTTTCTCGGAAGCTAACTTTAGCTTCACCGATAATAACCTTAATAAAAGAGATAAACCAAAAAAATTGTGCCGGAATGCTTTGCTCTCAGCTAATTCTGAAGTCGATATAAAAGGGCAGATGTCGTTTTACCAAGATCAAGAGGGTGAAGTATGGTTGACTGGTACTTATCAGTATGGTTTTCAAAAACCAGGTACTTGGGATTATTGTTGGACAATTCAGAACGGTTGTGGGGATATTCTTTTTAATCTCACTGATTGGTTATATATGGAGTATGCAAAAGATAGTACATGTGATGGTTATGACGATAAATCAAGTTATTATAGAAAGAGAGATGGTTATCTTGATAAAAGACATAAAGATATATGTGAAATTGGTCCATGGGGTAGTAAGCCTTGGGTAATTAGAGTTAGTGATTTAACTTGGGATTGTGATCATGAAGGTTTTAAATATAAAACTTGTAAGGGTAAAGATATATATAAGGATATGGTGATTGATTATTCTAAAGAAAAACTTCCAAAACGGCTTAGTGATATGGGTCCTGAAAGTGGTCTTTATTTAGTTATTGATGGTCAAAGTAAATGGGGAAAACGTCAAACTATTACTTCACCCGCTGCTATTAATGTTAATAATGAAGGCAATGTTATAAGTCCGCCGCCAGCAGATCAACAACCTCCACAACAACAACCTCCACCACAACAACAACCACCACCAGTAACTGTTGCACCTGCAACCACTGCTGCTGCGCCTGCAACCACTGCTGCTGCGCCTGCAACCACAACCTAAATCAATATAGTGATATGATATTTAATCAATATCTAGTATATTTGTGTTGCTTATGCAACACGCTTAAATGTTTTAACCTTTGTTGCACTAATTGGATATTCATATTTGTTTGTAAATTGATGTAGTATTTAGCATAGTAAAACATGTTTTGTGTAATTTTTTTTTGTATAAAATATAATTAAATATAATTAAAGGATAGTATCATATATGTGGTTTAATGGATGATTATAAATACTAACGTATGATCCAACATGAATATATTTATTTACGCATAGTGATATTAGATGTTAAATATTATACGTATTGTGGTATTATATGTTAAATGATATAAATCGATATTAGATCGAAATATAAATCGAAATATAAATCGAAATATAAATCGAAAAATATAAATCGAAATATAAATCGAAATATAAATCGAAATATAAATCGAAATATAAATCGAAAATATAAATCGAAATATAAATCGAAAATATAAATCGGAAATATAAATCGAAAATATAAATTGAAATATAAATCGAAATATAAATCAAATACAGTATAAATCAAATATAAATCGAAATATAAATCAAATATAAATCAAATATAAATCAAATATAAATCAAATATAAATCAAATATAAGTTATTTATTAATAAACCGAATTAATGACGAATTTAATACCATACATGCAGAATCTATCATTTAGATATATACGCATAATCTAAAATAAAATTATTCTCCATTTGCTTGTCAGACGAAACCTTCGCGAGTGACGAAACTATTGACGTTTGACGAAACTATTGACGTTTGACGAAACTACTGACGATTGACGAAACTCTTGACAAAATAAATTTGACCAATAAAATATAAAAATGCAGTTGACCATCTTTCAACAAGTTCCTTTATTTCGTCCTGGATGTTCTGAATCTTAAAATTTTCAAAATTACTGTTCGTTCATCAAAAAGTTTCGTCGGTTTTTCTTCGTCAGACCCATCGGATACATCCGAGTGAGTAATGCAAATCATCGGGTAATGTCGGATAAATATGTCAAAAAACACAACAAACCGGGTAGATATAATAATGAACAAAAAGTCAAATTTACATGAACTAATTTATTTCCATTAACTAGTTTTTAATGACTCCTAAAGAATAAATCCTATTTTTAAATTTTTCTTATACTTTTCATATAAAATTTATGTTTCGTCATGAGTTTCGTCATTTGTCACGTCATTCGTCATTCGTCATTTCGAAGCTGCCTTGACGAAATGGTTTCGTCATTCGTCATGATAAAAGGTTTCGTCATTCGTCAGCGTACATACTAGAGTTTGGTGCCGATTTTATTTTTCATATGTTAAACCGAGTTTAATCGGGTTTATAAAACCGGTTCCAAACTCTAATACGCACGTTTATAAAAGTATTTATGTACTGTACAGTAATTCTCCCCTCACCACTTCACTATCAGAAGTACCATAAAATTGATTAATAACATAGATACTCCAATACGTGAATAATTAGTAGAATTGTTCAAAGCAAATTCGTAATTTCATTTAGCCTGGATCAGCCAAAAACAAAAAAAAACGGCTATCTAAATATAAACTTTGATTTTGGAAGTTTGTATTACTGGTGCAAATACGTATACTTCGTCTATATTAATACGTACGTACCTCACTGGTGACACTATCAATTAAAAGGAAATCTCTTCCGAAAAACAATTTCCAAACTTGTATGAAATTACGACAAAAAAGCTCAAATCATTCGTTGACCTTCTATGGATGACGAATCTGCTGTGTAAAACTATCTGCCTATCATGTGATAAGTTTAAAGTTTGAATGCACTTCACTTAAAAACTGGTTTTATTGCAAGTGGTTTTGGAATTTCTTAATATTTAAAATTATAATTTTGGGGTAAAATCCATTCCATATAAACCTATAAAATCATAAGAAATCCCAAATTCCGTTCCCACTTACAACATTATAATGCATCTTTGTTTATTTAGATCGTTATAGACAATGGTTCTGGAATGTGCAAAGGCGGTTTCGCCAGTGATGATTCCACACGCTGTGATAACTTTATTTTATAAAATACAAATGATTTTTTTAAACCTAATATTTTATTTATATATTTATTATGGCAGCTTATGCTGTGATTGGCTTATGCCGAGAATTTTATGAATTATAAGAATTATAAAATTTTTGGTGACTTTTTTGTAATCTTTTTTTCACAGTCAGGTTAGGATTTAGGGTTAGCATTATTAAAAAAATTGTATTGTATTTGATGAAGAATGAAAAGTCTCGGGGAGAACATGCATTTATATATTAATTTTTTCATTATAATT